TGGGGCAGTTAATGCTTGCGTATTAATAATACCTGCAAGCATTCCACGACGTAATACGCGTGGATACTATAACCTATCATAGTGCTTGTTTGCACGTGTGCACAGAAGAAACGAATCAGTCACATCAAGTTAAATCTTCCTGTTGTACATAAACGGCGCCGTCAACTAATCATGGTGTAGGAATAGCGGGGGCGAAAGAGCCGTTGGACTGCCGTCGTGACTTGCCGTGTAAGTGCATGCCATGAGGTAGGTGGGCGGGCATCAGTCGGCCCTTTGATAGGAAAGGAAAGCGCTCATGCGCGATTGGGCTGGAGAGAGCTGACCAATGGCGCGTTACCCATCTCTTCGACTGTTTTTGCATTTATACTTGTTTGAACAGTGGTACCGCAAACACACGTGTCCTAGAAAAGACGAGGTTAAAGAAAAGAAAAATAAGGATCACGCTAGGCGGTAGAAAAAAAAGTGCGTTAAAGATAACCTCTGGATAAGGCGAGTCAATAACTTATTGGTGTTGGGGCACCGAAGAGGTCGGCACGTGGAAGATATTTCACAGAGCACTCAGAGCATACTCAGGATAAGCTATATCGCTACTTAGGAATCCAAGGCGATGAAAAGATGGATTGGATGCGCGATCCATCGGCTTATTTGCAAAACATTCCTTGTGTTAGCAACAACTGGTAAAATATCAAAGAAAAATATATTGTATTTGATTGTGGCGCATTTGTCAATTATACTTCAGTCATCTGGCACACTCCTTAGCGTAAATCCTGAGGGAGCTACCTTTGATTTCTAATAAATATCAGCTAAATATCCTGCCCCTAAATATACCCTTAAAGGGCAACTCCGCCTCATTTTCGATGCTGAAAAAACAACGCAGTTTTCTTTAGTATCACCTAGAAAGACTACACGTCAAGTTTTACGACGTAATTAAGCCTAAAAGTTTGTTAAACTGGTAAACAAAGTTTGAGATGCCTCAAGTCTCCGAAATCTGCTAATTCTAGCGGCCGATGTGCGGCGCAGAGAACAGCGCAGTCAATACCGCGTGTTGGCGCAGCCAACACTGCGCCGCACGTCATAGTCTGGGACCGCTTTTTTTTCTTGTTTTTTACTTTATTGAGGCGCAGCCTACAGGCGGCGCCAGCAGCGTGCATACCGATGTCCACGTGATCCAAAACGCGCATGCGCTGATGAGTGTCTGAGCGAGCGCGCTCGTCGTCGGGAAGACCGAACCTGCTGCGTCTCGGAGCAACGTTTTGTGCTGCGATGCCTGGCATATTACGAGTGGTTTACTTAACTTCAACTACTAATGGTTCCAAAACATAACTTTAAAACAACTTGCCTTTTTCTGCGTCAAAACACTCTGCGGCCGCGGTAGAGCACACGTCGTTGGATAGCAGAGACCGTGGAGCAGACGACACGGCGCGACGACGCTTGCTCCGCCGATCCGTCCGTCCGCGCGGTCGGCGAGGTCGTGCGGTGACGTTCGTACCACGTGGGTTGTCCCAGACTATGACGACGCGGGGCCAATGTTGCCAGGCGCGGGCGCAGTTTCGGTTTCGGTTTGTGATCAGGAGTAAATAAGGATTACGAGAATTATATTTCCTTTTTTGAGAAACAAACGACGTCGAGCCGTTTATTAGTATACCTTAGTGTATAATCACCAAAAACCCCGAAATTCCTGGAATTGAGCGGAGTTGTCCTTTAAATATCAGCTCAGAAATTTCTATATACCCCTAAATATCAGCTCAGACATTTTTTGCTAAGTATTGCGTGTTTGCTAAGTATTGCAGGACACGGTTTAATGTAGAAATATGCGTGACGCACGACTAGCACAACTGAAGAAATTGTTAGTAAAATGGAAGTACACATTCCATGTCAGTTCTGCTGCACACGCTGCATAAATCTTATAAATGCCCTTACAAAAAAAAAGTCATGCAGTTTATAAAAATCTTATCCACATTTTAATGACTAAACTTGTTATCCAGTCACGTCGTGTCGACAATTTTCATTTGAATTTTCGTAGACTTCTTTGAACCAAACTCTTTAGAGTACAGACGATGGAAATGAAGTCGAATTTCTATCGCATTTGTCAATAGATCTTCCGACGCCATATTTCTAGAAACTAGACTTTATACAATATTATGACGCAGAGCAGAGAAGCAACGTCACACACAATTAAAACGTCAGTGCGAAGTCAGATTTCTTTTTTTTTTTGTCAAGCTTTGTATTTGCACATTGGAAACCATATTGTGTATAAGTTATTGTCGAAAAAAAAAACTAATTGTAGTCTCTTTATCTTCTGGAGTGGTCCTCGCTCACGTGACTACTTTACAAGTGTCGGGTATATATGGCAGTGGTGTAGTCAATACTATGAATTACTGGTGTTACAAATGCTACATGGCGTGTGTATTTGTAATGTCTGCCTATGTTCACAAGGCAATTAGAGAGCGCATGTTTTTATGGATACGTTGTGAGAAGCCTGAAATAAATGTCTAGGATTGATTTATTTGGTTCTGAAAAGACTGTCCTATTGTCAATAGAAATGCAAGAGAAACGCTGTTACAATATTTACGTTTTCGATATAAAATCTATACTATTTCTGTCCCATCTCTATACACTGAATTCCATTACAAGACTACTGAAAAAACGGCCAAAAAGCAATACACAGTGGATGAATTTCCTTTAGAACATATCTAGCCTCCCTCTACATTTTTTTCTCTATACAAGTTCTATAGTAAGTGGATACATCATTTCGTAACGCTGGAGTAAATGTTTGCTTCGCAGTCACCGGAAAAAAAAATAAAGCGTTAAGAAGGTCCCACTGTATTTGGTCTCTCAACCCGAGAATTCAATAAGGATGACGCTAAAGATGCACTTTCAAAGAAAAGCTTGCATTGAGTAAGAGTGGGACCAACATTATACTGTGGTGAAGCAGAAAACACTATTTATTTCTAACCTAGTACGAAAGCAGAGAGTCAAAGGGTCGACGTGATTTATTTATGTCCCTAGTGTTCATAATATATATAAAAGCAAAATAAAACAGAAACGCAAGCTAAATGCAGCGCAGAAGACAAGCTGTAACCAGCATCAACTATATAATTTGAAGTAATGCAACAAAAGTATGCGCATATGCAAATACCATCGAATCGAACGCCTAAAACATGCTAAAAAGTATTATCACATGTGGCAATATACCCAACCCTGGTATAGACTGACACGCCGTTTACAAGCAAGGGTTCTACAAGTTCAGCACTCGGCGAGAAAATAGGCAATATCGCCGACTGCCGCGATTGGTCAGAGCCAAGGCAAAGCGCGGCCCTGGCCAATAACGGCGGCAAGCAATCTTGCGTATAGTCTCTCCCGGAGTGCCCGACTTGGAGCCCCAGGTCTGCGCTTCCACCAGGTGTGTGCATTGCGTTTGTAGAGAAACCCACAGATTGCAGTGAGGCGTAGCGTCTGCACATGCGCCGTCCCGACAACAGGACCACCACAGGAACGTGAAGTCGGCGTAGCTTGTCGGTTTAGGGAAGATAAAGGTTAATCGTTTCAGCAGATGCAGCAAAAGCTTATCAGTGTCATGTTATTATCATGTCTTCTATACACAAGTGCATGGAAGGAGCGCCTGGAAGGGGGGGGGGAGGTCACGTGACTTTTCTGATGCGCAGGCATAGAAAATAAAGTTTAAACCGTATATGAACCCACGATTACATGAGCAAATCAAAGACGAGGAAGGCGAGGCCGAAGTGGCGAGATCCTGAGGAGCAGACGACGAACCGCGACCAGCTAGTCGCGTCCCGACCGGCACCTGGAAGGTTTCGCCTGACAAAACTAGAGGAGCGGACGCGGTGCGCGTTATATCATTTGTGCGCGCCGGACTTCTGCGCTCGCTCGGATTGGTAGATTTAACGAGAGCGACGAGAAGAAAAGACAGGCGTGACGTGCGAGACCCCGATGAACGATGAACCATGACGAGAGGACGAGCCGACCCGCCGAGCAGTTTGAATAAACGAATGTGTGTGGCGTTGCCGAGGCCAAGATGGGGATTTGCATTGTGAACGGCTGCGAAAACCTTCCGCGTGGAGTTTCGTTCACCGGAGTCCCTGTTCGATTACGTCGCGAACTTCGCAGTAGCGTGAACGTATAAGCGGTTCTCTTGGATTTCCGGGAGCCACCGAGCTGCTCAGACGATGGATTTCGACCTTTTGTTGCAACAGCGACTCGACTTCATTGAAGTAGGGTTTCGTAAGCTTCAAATCTGATAACTTCAGGGGTCAAAATGCACATAAAAAATCACCGCCATAAAACTCGACTGCGCGGTTTAATGTTGGTTTGGATGCATACCAAGAATACCCGCACACGTACTTCGAAGTGCTGTGAGCGTTCCACAAAACCTTTTTCACGGGCATGCACAAAATATTCGCTGTCGAAATTAGTACATCAACAATTTTATCGATGCACAACATATTTATGAAGTTGAACGGAGTTTCACACATCGTTAGAACACCGGTATCCGCTGGCACAATGGTAGCTGAGCCTAGGAAACACGGCAGAACCTGGCAGCGCTCAGTTCGTAGGTGCAGCCTTGTACCATTCAAGGGTCACGTGTTGTTCATATATGAGAGAGGAATGGGCAAGGAGGATGAGAAAGATTCGAGCGAAACGGGACGATGGCTTGGACAAGCTACATAGCTGAAGGCATGCAACCCCCCCCCCCCCCCCCCCCCCTTCCCCAAACCCCGTACACTCGTAGACATCATTTTGGCCAAACAAGAGAGCGACAGGTAGCATCACAGCACTCGACAGAGATTATGGTATCAATGCAGACGTTGAGCTTTCCTGCGTCCTTCAAAAAAAATCACACGTGTATCCCAGACGTATCTACTGCAAGAAAAATAGATCGGGAGCTTTTCTCACCTTTTATTTGTGCACACGTGTGCCTCAGTACAGTCCGTAACAGGAGAGTTTTGACTGATCACTTCGCGTTAGTGGAGTATAGGAGGATGTCTTCTTTTGCTGCCCTCATCATGCTGACGGCTCTTTTAGTCACCGTTTTTCTCAGGTGAAGTAAGATTCATTTCTTGGTCGATGAGTCACAGTATTGTTTTGTGAATGAGACAAATCAACTGTCGCGTGTTTTCCTATTTTAACCTCTGTCGTAAGAACATTGCGTTCATCAATTAGAGCGTTTTAAGTTAGAGGAGCTAAGCAATTTCTTATTTCTCCTGAAGTTTTATCACGTTCAAAATGTTTGATATGAAATAAATATTTAATAGCTTTGAGTTACCTATTTTTTCTTCTCTAGCTGTGCTTACACGTTCACTTACATTTTAGAGAAGACGTTCCACTGTCTTGCTCCATTATCCATGCATTTATTTCTAAAACGGCAGAAATCCGAAATGGCAGAAAGGGACTTCCATTTCTAAAACGGAAGTCCGTGACCGCGAGTTGCTTTCTCGGCGCTACGGCCGGCAATATATATATATATATAACTGAGAAGAAAAAAACCCTTAGTGAAAACAGCAACAACGGACGATTTAATCTTCGACGTTTCGGCCGGAGTCCGGCCCACACACATATATATATATATATATATGTGTGTGTGTGTGTGTGTGTGTGCGTGTGTGTGTGTGTGTATGTGCACGTGTGTGCTAATTACAATGAAATCGCTGCGTTTGATTATCTCGCTATGTACATAAATGTTATGCCCTAATAACTGTTTATTTGCTTTTTATGGTCACTGACGAGTCAACACAGGCAACATGTGGCTAGTCTCGATCACCTTATTGCCCCTCAGGAACCAATGAATTGCGTCATTAGCCGACAAGGTCACCGAAAAGCAAAGGACAACCCACAATATTTATATATATTCATATTAAACACGCTCTGAGTTTCTTAAAGTGCCACCAACGATGCTATTGAACTTTCAAATCAAGGTGCTCATTAAGTGACTCTGCATTTACAACAAAAGCCAGGATGTGGTGTTATATTAAACAAACGTGATCAATCACCTTCATTTTGTCTTATCTGAAAGAACGCTGACTTTTTAAACTAAAATAGATATGTAATCACCTAGATCATAGTTTAAATTTGAGATTATAACTCCCTGTGAAAATTTTTCAATCTCTTTATTTCATTGTATGAGTAGTTCCTCACTGCTGCCTAACATCAGATCTACCGCCGACCCCTTTTTTTAACCTCGCAGATTGAGCAGATTTGTATTTAAGACAAAAGACAATATAGAAAAGCGTATTCTGAGCAAGGAATGCGTTTTGTTAAAAATCACACGCTCACACTCTTTTAACGCCCCTCAGTCTAAAACAAAACATTAATCTATAAGTTCTGTTAACATGCTCATCTGATATTATATCAAGTATTTTTTTTCTCTAGATGGAGAAAGAAAAACTTTGAATACTTCCGAAATTTAGGTATACCAGGACCGGAACCGAGCATTCTCTGCGGAAACCTCAGAGAATACCACCGAAAGGTAAACGTTGTTTTTGGCCTGGTCCTACTCCCTCCGCCGCTTTGTGCCCGCATCGCCGCCTTCGGAGGAGGGGGCGAAGCGAAAGTCTTCGTGCATTGTTGGGAAATATATGACCTTTGAGAGCCCACAAGAGCCAAGAAGGTATAGGCAAATCTTAGTTTATTTGGCCGAGGTCTGGACATATATACTTGTCCAATGTGTCCAAACAGCGCCGAAGGTAGGCTTCATTGCTGGTTGCTGGTTGTTTGACTGTCAAATGGAATCTTTTTGGACATGCTCGCCAAACATGTGCCAGAGCTATTCGGTTTTCACACGGCAACTTTGGGCCTCAATTGCCAATGAATTGTGAAATTCTGGCTTCACTGCTGGAACTTAGGTTCATACATGACATCTTTGGCTAAAGTATGAAATTTTAGAATTATGTGGGGAGCCAGAAAAAAAAACATAGAAACGTCAAGGAAAAGCCATCTGCCACTAACTAGAGCATTTGAGCAAAAACCATTTTAGACACAAGCCCTGGATTTCCAAGCTTGTGCCAAGTCAGACGTTTCGATGGCATGCTACCTGTGCAGGCTCACGTTTCTCAAGAGACGCCCGACCCTTATTTTTGTATATTATGCAATTACTTCGATAAAATATGTCATTCGCTGTTAATTCTGTGAAATGCTTTAGAAAGCTTTTCACTGCTGGCGCAAAGGTTAGTCGTAAGGATCACTGGTGCACACTTTCCCATTTTCAATAAAAATATTGGTCGTCTTTATTAATCACGTACTGCTTTCCACGTAGGGCCGACACCTGGCTTTGCAAAAATGGTGCGATACGTACGGCAACATATTTGGGTAAGTGCAGTCATTTAAAGGGACACTGAGATTTAAAAAAAAAAACCTTTAATGAGCCTCGAGAGTGCATAAATTGTTCCAAATTTCTTCACAAAAAATGAAAGCCGTTTACAACTCCCCGTAACGCCGGATTAGAGCACAGCTCTTGAGGAGGAGGAGGGAAGGGTACTGAGGGGAAGGTATAGGCTCCTTGCACATGACGTCATTTTCGATGCCCTCCAGAGAAGAGGGGAAGAAGGAACTCCCCTCTTATCAGGACCCTCCTTTGTGCCTCCCGGATTTGTACAGGCGTCGCTATTCTCCCCCCAGAAGATTATAGAAGATTAACCTGTCACTCAAAATTCTTACAAAAGCTAGCTTCCCTCTCCTCCTTTTACTTGGTGTTCAAAAGTATGCGATGTGACGTCAGTGCAAGGAGCCTATATCCTTCCTCCCTCCACCTCATCTCCTCATCCTGTCTGCTACTCCTCCCTCCGAGCGGCGTCGCCGTCGTCTCACGAGGGTCACGTGACCTCAAGGGGGTCACGTGACGTCACTGGGGTCACGTGGTGCTACCGGGGTCACGTGACGTCATTGGGGTCCCGTGATCCCTATTAGGTCACGTGCTGATGACGATGACGTTATTAGTGACGTTACTGATGACGTCATCAATGACGATGACGATGCCGGAGACGTCATCAGTGACGATGACGATGCGGATGTCGATGACGTCATCAGTGACGCCACTGATGACATCATCAGGGACGGCGATGATGACGATGCGGATGCCGATGACGTCAACAGTGACGATGCCGATGCCGATGACGTCACTGATGACGTCATCAGTGACCTCACGCGTCTCATAAAGTACCGCGTGGTTACGCCGACGGCGACCCGACGCCGACGCCGACGCCGTCGCCGCTCAATTCGGAAACAGGCGCCTAAGAGCTGCGCTCTAAAATGAAAGCCGTTTAGAAATCCCTGTAACGCCGAATTAGAGTGCAGCTGTTGAGGAGGAGGAGGGGAAGGTATGGAGAGGGGGCTATGCCCCTCCTCCTCTCCTGCTCGCCCCCATTTAAGGAAAATGTTCCCGCTAAATCTAGCGGGAAACTTTCACATCATGCACCGCGTGGTCACGGCGACGCCGACGCCGACGCCGACGCCGACACCGCTCAAGCCGGATACGGGCGCCTAAGAGGTGCGCTCTAAAAAACAACAAAAGGAACAGACACGTTTTCAGCAATATACATGCCATTAGACGAAGTTTAGTCGGGAGTAGCCCTGCTCTAGGCCCCGCCCATAACAAAACGTGCTTAGATAGGTAAGCAGACTTTCTCGGCTCTATTTAATTGATGAGGTGATTGACGTGTGAAATGTTCGCTGTGAAATTGTTTCCCCGTGCCGTAGTAGTATTTTTACTAACAGTTTATGTCTGAGAAACAAACAATCTAGATTTAAGTAAAGACTAATGCTAGAGTGCCTTTCTCGCTTCGGTTTCAAACGATAACAAGCATGGCTGCCCGCGTTTGCGGCATGCTCAACAAGCTACGCAAGTCAATCTTGCTTGTTTTTATGAGCCCGAGCCGCTCTGCGTTCAGAAAGGTGTTCTGAGGAAGATTTTATCATCCGAGTACGCGCCTTTGGAAGCGCTGTGAAGGAGCACGTTTTCGTAGCGGGACTGATTTAAGCCTAGCGTCTCACGTCAATTATATTTCTTGATCTGGCTAGATTTATCACAGAGCGTGCGTTTACTCTAAATTAGGATGTTGGTTCCAGTAGAAGCGACCCCGTTGCTCTGTGAATTGCCCTCCGTCGTGATTGCAACCATGGTTTCAATACCGAGAGATACTTACGCGGGTAAGAATTTGCGAGCCATTTGGCTGGAGAAAATCGGGCGTTCGCCTCGCACCAAGTTTGTCCAGGTATTTTCCCGTCATCTCGCTTCGAGAGGCTCGCAAGTTTCGCCATGCCTGCCAAAGCGAATATTTTTCATGTCACGTTTAATGGTGCGTCCTGACGCTCACCACCTTGCTCGCTGATGCCCTGTGGAAAATAGAACAAGAACAGATAAGCTGGGGGGACTTCATATTTATTTTGTTGATTTGTTAGTCCTCCCGGTAACTTTTTATCGTACGTCGACAGACACTGACACACGCTTGCATTTGAGCCTGGCTCGTGCATGAAGGAATGATAGAACGCCGCTTTTATGGTAGCGTCTTACGAGCGTCGCAGACGTTTGAGACGGTGCTGAATAGCACACAGACGAAGCCGAAAACGAACGCCGACGCGAACCTTCTATATCCGCGTCGGACATTGCAGACGATGATACACGGTGGTGGAGTAGCTGATGATGCCGGAGACTGCCAGGCGTGGGGTAGCAAGAAGAGGAGGCGACATAGCGGCTCAAGCCAGCGAAACTAGAAAATCCCAAGCGAAACCGGAAGTAGAGGTCGCGGTTGCTGGGAACGCCTTGAAGGGTGCCCAAGTCCCGTCCAAGGGTACCTAAATCCATTCAATAGCGTCTTTTGGTTTTGTTTGCCTTTGGCAATCGTTGGGGTTCTGTCCCTCAAACCACAAGTCTCTTTTGACTTCACCTATGGTTGCGTGATGCCGCCTCCAGAAGCTTCCTACCTCCATGCTGCCGCTCGTCTGCTCACACGAATAACAGGAGGTGTGAGACGCCAGACTAGACACATAGGATGTCGCCATAGGGTGACAACAAGCTCAGCGAGTGTGTTCAATCGATCAGCCATGCCAATCCAGTAGCAATGGTTGGTTCCACAAGTCTGTGGTAGGGGCTTAGAGCGGGCCCTGATCTCCACATAAATTGAGTCTAACGGCGTAAATATTTTGCGAATTAATTTTTTTCGTGGAAAATCTGCAAAAGGAAATGTTCGTCAGATTTATGCACTTCAAACTGTTTTTAAATAATTTCAGCGCCTCTTCAAGGACCTAAAATATATAGTCATTGGCCTAGAAAGTGCAAAGACGCTATCTTTTTTGATGCTTCTGTTTTGATAATTTATTTTTTTATATTACAAAAATAATGCATGACCGTACACTATCTAGACTTTATAAACATCACATTTGTCAACGTATTTATTATCCAGATTCTTTCACTCGTTTTGTAAGCTAGGCATTAATTACTTCTCCACAGGTTTTATAATGGCGATGTTCCGACCCTTGTAGTTAAGGACCTTGATTTTCTGCATTACGTCTTCGTCTCAAACTTCAAAAACTTTGCCGAACGCGGGGTAAGCTTTTTCAGCAATGGTAGAAAAAATATATATACTCAGGAATGTTATCCTCTTACACAATACATGCCTTTCTATTTTGATTGCTCATAATGTGTGTCTTGCCCCTACCTTTCAAAGAGGTACGGAAGTGTTTTTAGTTAGAATTTCGTTTTACATCATGATGTTTAACTTTTTATAAACACTCCCCTACTGAAAAAAACCATTTGGCGCCCATATGAAAATAAACGGGTCCATACCGGTAACCGTTTAACCATACTGGTCACCAGTTTGTCAAAGGGGTCGCCCGTATGGCTCAAAGGGGTCCCCCGTATGAGCCATAACGGTCACCTATTTGGCAAACGGGTCGCTCGTCTGGGCAAATGGGCGACTCGTTTGGGCAAAGTTGTCGCACGTTTGCTCAAACCGGCGACCATGTTGCAAACTGCACCGGTTTAATCAAACGGCTCTCCGGAGCCCGTTTGATATTGAACGTACAGATCGGCGGCGTGGGCACGCCTAGCGTTTCAGCCGTGGCAGCCAATGTTTTCCGGAAGGCTGGGAGCGCCGGTTCATCGATTTCAGATCGTCCGCGTAATGCAAGTAATTATATTTATATTTCAATTGCGCTGATTTTCGATTATACTGCAACTAAAACTAACACCTTTTTTTTTTGTTTTACGTAAACGCGCGACGTTGGTGAGCCAATATTTTTGACAGACCTTTAATACTTTGTCCATCTTTGTTGCCTAAATGTACTTATTCAGCTCGAATCTCTCTCGCAGAAGACGCGAACGCGTGAAAGAATGTACGTCTAGACTCCGTTTCACTTTAATTCAAGACGCAGCGAAGGTAGCACGCGTACACGCGGCTGCAAGAACATCGAGAATTGCGAGAGCACGCCCGCCGTTGCAGCACTCAAACTACGAGCTTGCGCTGAGTTCTTTCTTCGCTCGGGCGCAAGCCGAGCTTCTGGCAGCCCCGCCGCCATTTCCAAAGTTCGAGCGCGCCCGCGCGCGCGTTTGTTCTTCGGGACTACAAAAACGCATCTCCCTGGAATGCCTGGGGAGAGGGAGAGGGGCTGTCCTGGGCTGTCCCGGTGGTCCCAGCGCCTTGACCTCGCCCCCTCCCTCCTCTCTTGTCACCCCTGTCACGTGACCCACAGCAGCGCGCGAGCTACACGCTGATAAGCATCGAGATCCGGAAGGGCGCGCCTTGCAGCCGCTTTTTTCTTTGTCTGCTTGTTGTCAGTTGCTGCTCGAAGTTCGCTCGTCCTACCTGCTTCAATCTGTCGCCTAACCCTGCGGTCTTATTGGGACGCCTCTCGACAACGTATTGGATGTGCACCAAAGCTATCAGTGTTCGAAAAGACCCACGTGTATGTCGGCAACGAGCGATTCTTCAAAGAAGTCGCAAATTCTCGCGGTTTGGTTGGGTTCGGCAAATGACAGCTTGTGCGCCGCATCGTGTTGAACTTCCAAGGAGCCGTTCCCTCTCGTTTGTGTTTGTGTGGTTGTCCTGCTTTGACCGTGTCGACAAATATCACGGATTACCTCTTTCAAGTCCGCTATTGTTATGGTAAGTGCACTGCAACCTACGTGTTGGCAACGATTGACCGTTCTTCTACGCGTACTCTTCTAAATTATCTAAAGAATTATGCAGCGCCTATTCGCGCGGCAGCCAGGAGAATAATTTCCCCGAAAGTCTACCTGTATAGTGTTCACAGATCGCTTGCACGTTTGTACTTGTCTACAGAAGAGGTAATAAACTTCGAGGAGAATTGAAAACAATCTTTTGTGTCGGTTTTCCTGTCCACTTACAAGCACCTACGCGAGTGCATTTGTTCTACGTGTTTTCTCCATGTTATAAATACGTTTATGAGTTTCGGGACGTCTTAAATATGTTTAAGATAACCAACCTCCCAGACGATACCCATTTAGGGCTAGCGCATAATTTGCCATTTCGAAGGGCACGTTCAAACGTGGGGTCACGTGCCATGTCGAACGGGTACTCGTACCATACGGCACCCGTATCAAACGGGCACCTGTATCAAACGGGTACCGTTTCGAACGGGTACCGTTTCCAAACGGGTACCGTTTCCAAACGGGTACCCGTATCCCATAATCACGTTTGATCCAAACGGATCGACAGGTTTGATTCAAACGGGCGACCAGTTTGCCACCCGTTTGAATTTCAAATGGTTTTTTTCAGTAGGGTCGATTTAATTTTTTCTTATGATTGTAACTGTTGAAACGAATGCCTTAGAATTTTCGAATGTGCCTATTATGGGTGGTTCCTGTTTCGACCCATTCCCAATTCAATCTTCCCGTTTGTACCTTCCCGTTTCGACCCGGCTTAAAACGACCTTCTCGCTTCATCCTTTGCCATTTCGCCCTATCCCGAAACATTGACCTTCCCGCTTCGGCCATCATTTCTTCGCAGTTGGGTCAGTTCGTTTGTATTGTAGGTTCAAGTGTCCAATGTGTGGTCCTCCTTGCTGACCTCACTTCTCCTTCTCCCGAAACAACTTTGGAGATGGCACCGTAAGATAAACGCGGTGTCAAGGAGGACTCACCCGAACATTTGCAGCTTCATCGATTCGATCAAACGGGATGAGGCTTTGACAAGGGTGTCTTTTGCAACAGCTTGCAAATAGTGGTGCTGTGCGGGCCAGGGTGCACAAGTGGGTCAGCAAGGACCACGAACTATCAGAACTGGAGTGTCGCTTTTCTGATGGCACGATTTCCCTGTTCGACCTTTTCAACAAGGCGAAGGCATTGTCTGGTTTATGATGTTTTCCTTTGTGCGCAAGTGTTTTCTGTTCGAAAATGTAAAATAAAATAAAGTCGCGATCATATGCCTGTTACCGTGTCTGATTTATCGCTCTCCAGGGTATCAGGATCACTAATATGAGGTTTTAGAATGATGTACGAAAGCACTTTGGGTACGCTAAAAGTAGCATCGCAATGCTGACGCTAATTTTAGCTTACCGAATGTGCTTGTGTACTCAAGACTTATTGTACGTAGCGCGAACAAGCCATCAACGGTGTTGCTGTTTACTCGTAGAATTAGAAGGCTGCCATAAAAACTATTACTGCCTTTGGAAGTGCTCATCTGAAGCAGTAGCCTAAGTCCTAAAATGTGGTGCCTGGTAATACCATTTTGAAGTAAAATTAAAAAAAAAAACGACAAGGTCGTCTTTGCAGTAACGGTGTCGATTAGCGTACATAGACATTTTCGCGGTAGCACGTTATGAGGATCATCTTGAAATAAAAAAAGCAAAAGCACTTTAAGTGGTTGAAGTAAGAAAAATATATTACTTCGGATCTTTCCTAAAGAGGGGCATATTTTTATAATACATTTGCATGAAATAATGTTTCAGAACATATATTCTTAAACAGAAAAGGTGCGCAGACCAGGGGTAGGACGATTACCCTTTTCGCGAAAAGGTAGTGATGCACAGGGTCTTACTCAAAGGGGGTGAAAATGAACGAGTTCAAACGCAAAGGGTCTTTTGTGTATCGGTTGAGATGGGACGGGTTTAATGAGAAGGGTGTAGTATTTGTATATATTCCATAATGCCGGCAATGAAAAAGAAGGCGATGCCGCGCGTAAAATAAACTGGGCCGGGCGTTTCGGGCATGGGACAAAACAGGACGGGTTCAAACGGGAAGGTCGTTCCGAGAATGAATGGAAACGGGACAAGTTTAAAAGGGAAGGTCGATTCGGGAATTGGTTGAAGTGGGACGGGTTCAAACGGGAATGGGTTGTTTCGGGCTAAACCCACTATTATTTATCTAATTGATGAATTAAATTCGACATTTCATTCTTTGTGACTACAAGAACCTGAAACTATTTATCCTATATCCTAAAAAAAGTGACTAGAAAATTTCGGACAATGATTATTCTTTTATTGCTAGAAATTATTTCATGGCACTCTTGGAAGTTATCATGGACATTCTGATGTTCGGATTAGGTTCATGATGTGTTATAATTTACACCTGGGATCTGTAAAAATAAATGCTCATAAAGCACACGGAATTTTTAATTAAACTGCTTCAATCGTTACAAATTAAAGAGTGTTCCGGGTACGTTTTGTTAAAACAAGATGATAACTTCACTCTTTGCTGGTGGTTAGTCAGAGTTATAACTGGTAGTTTCATAGAAATGCCTCGTTAGTTAATTGACATCCCTTCAAAGAGTCTACTTAAAGAAAGGTTCCCAATGAGAAAAACAGATACTAAAATATTTTTACCCGACTTAAAATCTAAACGCAATAATATCGAAGTCACTGATTTATAAAAGCAACTTTAAAGTGTAAATTCTTTTACAGGCAAGCTTAACAAAATTGTTATTTCAGATCACCATGCGGACAGATCAGGTGCATTCTTCCCTAGGATCGTCCATGATTCATGCCAAGGAAAGTCAATGGCGTTTTCTTCGAGGCTGCACCTCGCCTGAATTTACTTCGTGCAAACTAAGAGAGGTAACTAAAAACTCCCAACACGATTCCACTTAAGGGGGTTACGAAACACAGAAAAAAGAAACCCGCCAAGAAAAGATCACTGTCGATATCATTGAGGTGAACGTATACGCTTCTAAAATGAAGTGACAACCCAAGGTCCTATTTTGTATTGTACCACGGGTCTGAAAATGTTCTCTATATATTATCATCAAAACTTAAGAACTAGAAACCGCGTAATTGCGATGGAAGAAATATTTAAAAAAATGCGTTTAATCTTTTTCATTGAGTCGAAAACGTAGATGGCGAACTGGGGAGTCCTTCTTTTTGGCTGCTCTCAAACGGAAGTGATGTGATAAGTAACTTTAGAACTCCCAATTTTGCGATGTGTATGCCGTTAGCAGTGTCTACGTCAGGGAGGATCATTGTGGCACCAAGTAAACAATCATTTTATAGCATCACAGCTAACTTGGTCGAACAAACAATAATATACCTTTCGAGGTGTTAAAGACACCTGGATAAGAAAATATTGACAGAGCGATCATAGGTGACTTTGTAAATCGTGCCAGCTTAATTAAGAGTAGAGCTGGTTAGGCCATTTAAAGTTACCATAATAATAAGAACCAGAGGACAAAGAGATGAAAAGTGCTTTCCTCCGCCAGTTCTGGCCCTTCTAATATTAACAAAAATGACCTGGTACATCGGTACGAGCTGCAAGAAATATGTATTAGAAATGTTATAAATGAGTGTTACACATTTTAACTTGCGAAATTTCTAAATTTGTTTCCCATATATGTTATGAAAAAACACTAGAAAGGAGGAGCCAAGTGAATACGTATATTGAAACGCACTCCACGCACTAGCAAATAAATTTTGGTAGTTTCTATTTTGTTTGCTGGGTTGCGCGTTTAAGCCAATAATAACACATTTATTTTGTGGTTCCATGCGGCATTTAAGGCAAAAAGAATATGTAAATAGGTTGCCGCGATAAAACCGTTCTAGCTGCAGACACAAACCATCTCGACGACATATAGGAAAAGGCAAGTGAAAAACGCCTCATGTTGAATTCCAGATGATGCCTTTCCTCACTGAACAAGGGGACGTATTCATGAAGGTGCTGGGCAAACTTGCCGATGAAAGGAGGGAGGAGTCAATGCTCGAATCCTTCCAAGCTCTGTCTATGGACTTCTTTTGTCGGGCCAATTTTGGAATAGACTCCAACTTTCAGCATACCACGGCAAGTCTGTTCTACGTCAAAGCCGAGAATGTCATCCCAGGAATGATGATAGGCCCCTTCCACGCAATTGCACGTAAGGAAAGTATCGTATTGAGCTTGTCACCTATATCACCACACGAGAAATTATCTGGTGTGATACCAATTTTGGTCATATAATTTTTTTTTCATGCCCAGTACCTTGAACATAAGGTTTTTATACAGAAAGATTGATACACCAACAATTATAATTTCAAAACCAGGAACGCTTAGTTTTAGGTTTCAAGGTTGATAATACCAAGTGTGACTTGAAAATGTCAGAATTATGCCTAGTATGAAGTTTCAGACATTAGCAGAATGAATATTTGAACGAGTTGGTACGCATTCATTTGAAAACGTCCCGAATTAACATGAACAAAATGAGAGACTCGACGCAACAAAGGTCAGACGTACTTTATAGTTTTTGGCTAAAACGCAATTTGAGCCCCGCCCTTTCCCCCGTAGATTGGAGTTTTTGGGTCAGCCCAGTGCCTTGCGGAAAATATAGTGCGGCTTCTATAGTATTATCGCATGATCTTTTTTGTGCATGGAGCCCTTGGCATGGCTATAGAAAATGTACGGAAGAACAGCGCAAAACTGGAATTTTGAAATATTACACTAAGCACGATGTGAGCTTATGAAGTACTGTCCTCAACGCCAAGTCGGGTACATTATTTTTCATTGAAAGCAGTTTTATGACCCCATCGATCGCTAATCTTCCTTTGTACAGCGTATTTATTGGTTTTCATGAGCTCTCTTAGGCAAGTAGATGCTTCAGAATTATTTAGAATATGCAGTACTGGTTTGCGTTTTGGTACCTTGGTACGATGAGCATTAAAATGCTATCCTAAGTTTTCTTCCGTCCCGACCACGAAAAGCAACTATCCTTCCTTGAAACAAATGGCAACGTTATGTTTTCTCAGCTAAGCAAAAACATTTGGTTTAGGTTATGCACAGCCTTAAGATGTCTTTAACAATATCCCGAAAGGGTCGACCGCTGCTGGGACGGTCAGCGCCGTACCCAGGCGTAGTGAGGTGACCCCTGCGAGTATGACCGTTAGCACACAAAGCACATTCATGTGCGAGCGCTGTCAGCTGGACTCCTCTGCTGACTGCATGCGGCTGCTGCTTCTTATCTGTCGATAAAGCTATCCGCCTCAGTGGCCGCGTCCATGGACAGACTCCGGTCAGTAGAGTTGCGGAAATGAAGTCCTTTGGTATTACGTCTGCATTCCTTCTCTCCAAGAAATATTCTACTCACGCATATTTTGGATTAATTTCAGCCGATAGATACTACGGGAGTGTATGACCGATAACAGAACAAGGCGACTTCTTTAACTCTGCGTTTTATTCTTTATCGAGAGCGTGTATCAGCGATACCTTAACTGTACAAAGATAACGTATCTCGTGTTGGCTTACTGTGCACCCTTTTTTTACGTCGACCGCAAAAAATGTACTTCTTTTGCGTATTTTCTTAAGCAGGTACGCAGTAGGTAGGTTAAACGCGATAAATTGGCGCGTAGGAGTATCGTTTTTGATGAGGCAACTGATTTTGTTAATTTCACTATTGGCGCCGAGGTATATCGCCGGCGCCCTCTTATCATTTCCGCTTGTGACATCACGACCAGGATGTACCTCGCCGTGATTGGCAGAATTTGCCTCCCTCTAAGCCGGCGACTTGGTAAGCATCATCAGTACACGAAGAAGCTATGGCTCGGCCAATCCCGAATGCCGACCACAGCGCCGCTTTTGGTCGGGCACGCCGCTAATAGTGAGTGTCAACGTAGGAAATGCATGGCGTATTGAGGACCCGAGTGTCTTATTTTCAGATTGCAGCCAATAAGGTTGCCGCATTCGCCGATTAGAACGCCGAAGAAGAAATCACGAAGAAAGAATCACACGTATAATAAGCCACTCCATGCGTTTTTTTTTTTTAATCTGTCACTGAGGAAAACGTTACTGAGAGCTTAGGGAGTTCAGAGAGTGGCAAATGTCGATCGCCCTTATTATCTCTGGTTATTCCATAGAATTTCAGCTTAAGCCAATAGGAACGCCAACCAACGATTCACAAAGAAGCGTGAACATTAGACGCGAATCCGTCTGCTTCTTAAGTTGCTAGTAACTCTGCATGTGCGTGGCTTGAAATGCACAACATTGCCGGAGTTGGGAACGGAGCTAGAGCGCTCCAAGGTTTCAGTTAACATTGAACTATAAGGTTGTGTTACTTTTGTTTCGAGGGTCCAGAAAGATTGTGAACGATTTTTGAACGCATCTCTCTACTCTCGCCTTTTGGTCTTCATTGTTCGCGCATGAAGAGATGGGCGACCCAGAAATAAAACCGGATCCACTGATGGTGATTTCCTTTTTTAAAAAAAAAATGAAAAAATTAACGAAGGTTTCAAAGCGGCCTCTTTTCGTGCGAGTGCTCTGCCTAGCGATGCACCTGTCGACTACAATATTTGAACCTTTGCCACGTACAGACAACTCCATGTGGCGAAAACTAGAACTATGGTTCGAATCCGGAAGTGGAGTTGCGATAGCTCTCCCGCCTCCTCCACCGCCTAGGAGGCAGGAAAGAAAGCGGAACACTTTTTCCCGACGCGAAGTGTAGTTCAAATTTTCGCCGCTGTGACGGAATTCTACTTGTAACTGCACCAGTACTTCATGCACCAGGCTTTTGGTATATGCTTGAGACTTTACGAAAGGCTCTTTCATTACATATATAGGGTAGGAAGGAAGCAGAACCATAAAAAGAGGTATCAAAGTAGATAACTCCAGCTTCACGTACTGTGAACTGGCATGATATTTATTTTTTATCAACGTGGTAGAAGGTGGGTTGCGGGTATATCTGCGTCAGACATGTTTTAATGCACAAAGCACAAATACTAAATAATAAGTCAAATTCAATAAGTATTTTAATCAGATCAACTTCAACACTCTAAATCGTGACCTGCTGAGTTTGAAGCACGTGCCCTCAATTGCATGCATCTCTGTTTCCACACGAGTTTAATTTATGAGATACAACTTATAGCTAGATACGTATACTGAGTAATTTTCAACTATCATATAACGGCGTTTTCTAAAATCTGTTTGAAATATAACTTTAAGTTATGTCTCTTATTATCTGAAAGACTAAGCCTGCACAAAACGCCGGGCGTGATTAAGAAATTGGCTAGTGTCTACAAAGTACTCCTTTCATAAAACTAAGCTCAAGACAAATGCACATCTAGCAAAAAATAACTTCAAAGCTAGCTGATGCCTTGAAGGACTGCTATTTAAATTTACTTAACTACCCTGACCGGGCTTTTACATACATTATAATTAAAATACACAAGAAGCAATCTTAAGTGTCATACAATAAAAATGACCTTTTATTTTTGCTTTTATGTAGGTACCAACAATAATTTTGAAAATATTTCCCATCTTTCTGCAGAATGCATGACGACACTCAGAGTGTTTATGAAGCCATTCTTTTGGATTAATCGTATACTCGGAAGTTTTACCATGAATATATTTGCCGAAGAGATGAAGAAGGTTGTTCGACTCAGAACAAAAAATCCTAAAGTATGCGACTTTTTTCTGTGACCATACCGCCCATGTGTCGAAGCAAAGCTTTAAATTCATTCTCAAAAAGTTTTAAAGATTGGATTTTGGCATTGCAATGGGAACGTGGATTGCAATACTGGGTTATACTACTTTTGTTAATCTTTATTGTTACTGTTAATGCCTTAAGTGATCTAGAAGCAACCCCTTGCACTGCGTTTATTGTTATCATAGGCATATGAAAACACTATCAACGTTTTCAGGCCGATGTTTCTGTTATAATTTGCATTGGAAAAACCTTGATATCATTATTAAGTAACAAAACTATCGCGCCTAAAATATTTTAGTTAATTGCTATACACCCGAAGTACGAAAGTAACAAACTAGCGGCTTTCAAATGTAATAGCTTACTTTTAATACCAGTCTACAACTAAAAACAAATTGCCACGCATAATTGTTGTGTACCTTATTAACGATTGCTTATGTGTGAACTGTGTGGTCGGTTTGCCTTGCTGCATACCCGACCCGGAGGAATAACACGGAGCCGACGGTTTCAACAACAAGAAACTACATTTAATGGGACGTGGACAAGACGATTAACATTGCTACCGGCGGTGCCGGAGTCCAGGCAGCGACTCCCCGTGCGCCGCCTCTGATCTGCCTTATCAAGGCGGCGCATCCGATGTGCGCGTGGCTGGCGTGACGTCGCCGCCACGCGGGAAAAGTTCGGCTTGAGCCTCGCAGTCGGGCAACTTGGCTTGGGAGCCGCCAGGGTGCCCACAACTGGTAGACTTTTTTCAGTTTTTATCACATTCATAGGCTATTCAATTTTTAATCTAAGTGCCGGTTCAGCCTCTTGTGACGGCTTACGGCTGAAGATGTTTGAAGTCATTTTTAAGCTTCTCCAGATGTAAGCAGTCCCAAGTGTGGGAACCAGCCTTAAGTGAGGGCCTCCGATGTTTCTGCAGTGATTCGAATTGTACACGTTGGCATAATTTAAAAATTTTCTCAGATATATATTTTGTAATTTAAAATAAAACTTTCGTCTTCATGCACATCACTCAATAAAAACTGCCATATGTCTTTCAGCTACGAAGAAACGACATGCTGCAGAACCTATTGGAAGCCGAACTGCATTCCAAGCACTTTACTAAAGGTATCGAATTCGAATCACCTAGGTGGTTCGTGGTAGAATCTTAAATCACATCCTAGTTTAGTATAAAAAATAACAATAAGTGTCTTTTACAATATTTTGTACTCCCAAAATACTTTGTTTGAAAGTAGACGCGAACACTTCACAAAAAAACGAGCCATGATCATGGTAATGAACTTTAAGATATATTTAGCTTTCACAAACCTCTTCTCAAAGAAAGATTTACTTAAAACAGCTGCAAGGTTTACAGAAAAACGTTTTTAGTCTCATGTTTGTGTGCATAATACAAGGTGAACGCAAAAGAAAAACTCTAGGCATGGAACCATTGTGTCTTTAACCTCAGTCTTTTTCTGGTCTGAAGGATATCTTATATGCAAATATATATATATATATATATATATATATATATATATATACTTTAAACAAACAGGCGGGCTTCAAGAATTTCGGCGCCTGTCCGAAGAAGAGTTGGTGTTGCTGACGACAGTTCTCTTTCTTGGAGGGTAAGCGAAAACGTTCGGCGGCATTTTGCCTTTTAATTAACACGTTTCTAACACCCTTTATCTTCACCACGGTTAATAAGAAATAAAATCTGATTAGACGTCTGTTTCCTTACGGCTTCTGAATGTTTAAAAAATGCTTGGCGAGGCTTGTGATATTCATCCTTCTTGCTTCTTGATTCCTTCAGTTATTTGCCTGTAATGCCTAAATATTACTGGCTGCTGTGTAAGAATAAGACGCTCAAAACGAGCCATGGTCAGTTCATCTTAAGCTCTCAGTAACGTAAGAGTGAGGAGGGCCGAAATTTATATGTCGCTGACGGCCAACCGGAGTGCGCCCGAATTCCCAATAATGGCGTTGTCGATCATAAGAGCGCTCAAACGAAAATGATTATTATGATTTTGGAACTAAGGAGAGCGGTTTTATTACATGCCTTTACTCTAGTGGTGGGCGTAGAAAGGATTTTTTTTGTTGTTTATTTGAGCATGTCAGCGTCCAACTGAAAGCGGGAATCTCCAGTCGTTTGTGGGAGCTTTATTTTTTACAGCATCAACTCAGGTACATTTAGAAATAATTATTGTAGATATTTTTGGTAAATCCGTGGTTCCAGAATTGAAGTTTCGCGCCATCAAGTTTAACGCAAACGTCGCAACGCGTTTTTTTTTAATTCTAAATCTATTTGAGGTGTCAAAGACAAGGGCGATCTTTGAAATGCCGCTTTCTCTTCACACTTTTTGACACTCATGATGATAAAAATATTCATGGGCATTTGGAGTCAAAGTGTGGTATCGCATTTTATTCGTAGTTGATATATGTATAGAAAATCGAAAATTAGAATGAACTTGAAATGCATATTTAAATACCATAATTCCAACAGTTTAAGAAGATTAAGAAATAAAAATTGACGGATGATTCTAGGTAATGTGTCATCCTGAAAATGTAACAATTTATAAAGTTTAAATGCTTATAAATCAATGATTATTTTTACAGATTTCAGACCACTGCGGTGACATTGAGCTTCATGTCCATGTTACTCGCTATGCATCCAGAAATTCAAGAGAAAGTGAGGCAGGAAGTGAAGGACGCAATTTCAAGTTCGGTAATGCTCCTGTAATATTTACTCACTACCAAGGGTACTAAATATTTAACTACACTACCTGTCAAACAAGTAATTCAATGTATGTATTTTCTTTGTCAAGACATCATAGGAAATGAGATCAGATCTTATTATTTTTCAGTAAGGGGCACGTTACATTTTGTTAACAGCGTGACACGTTTTGTTTCTGGGATTAAAATGTAAGAATCAAAAAGAACAATGTATTAGCTCATATTTAAAGAAAACAAGCATAAACACACACATCACCAATTTATGATTTAAGGAAAAGTCATAAGAGATTACACAATAATATTTTATTCAATTCAAATAACTCATAGGAAGACGGGATTTATTCATGTCAATAAGTAAATTTAACACAAAAACATACAAATTGACGCCACCTAAAAAACTAATTTAGTCCGCAGCCGTTCATGCACATTACATAATTCGGAAAACTGCTAGCTAAAAAAGTCATAAAATGAAGAAAGAAATAGTAAAGCCTTCTTCCTCCAAATTCTAAACACCCACGCCGAATATTTTTAAAATCTACACGAAGAATAAATAGTTCGTCTATATTAATGTATATATGTTCCTAATTTACAACAATAATGTTTTCCTATAGCGTTCATAGGTTACTCATCATTTAAATTATTCTTATTCAAAGTTACATTATATGTATAATCTTCATATTACACAGCGAAAAATCTTATTTAGACGCATAAAACCAACACATAATATTATATAAAATTGTACATATGAGCAGAGCCGTGTGTGCAGAGAGTTTGGTCAATGGGAGGCGCGGGCAGAGCCAGGGCGTGCGTCAGATTCCGAAAGAGGGCTTGGCATGCTCTCTTGACCGACCAGAAGCGGAAAAGAATCCCCTAGTGGTGGTAGCGAAAAACAGTTCTGATCAAAGGTATATGTTCGTATATGGTTTTAATAAGTACGTAAGATTGAAGTGTAGTGACTCTTCGTGGTTGAAAATAGGGTGCACGTGTTGTTTTGATCGTGATCATGCAGAAAGATGTAAGAAACGAATGCGCCGCTCAACTCTGTTTTGCGCGGACAGAGTGTGACCGCTCGGACGGCAGATTCCCGGCCCTCAGCGCTTGGCGTAAGGATTATGTCGATCTTTCCGCTAGTCGCACTCTTCCACCATCATTTTGGATGAGCGTGATTGAAACATCATGTGTACCATATTTTCAGTCACCGAGAGTTACTCCGATGCAGTTATCAGGTTTGTTTCTCACGACCACCGTCAGGGTATTATTTCCGGCTTCTGGTTGGTCCCATTCGCATTTCTCAAGACGCTCTGGAACACGCCCAGCCCGCTTTAGGCCAATAGCGCCTCCTCATTTGTCCACTAAACTTCCCAACGAATGACCAAACTCTCTACATATACGGCTCTGCATGTGAGCACCTACCGCTCATGTGATATATGTAACATTTGACATCTCAATTTGACGCATTTTAAATTAAATCTTTCTTTCTTAAAAGGTTAAACATCTGGGTCGTTAAGTATATGTTGTTACTCTCCTAACATGCGTCCATTTCTACATATTATTTAAATAGCAGAAGGTGTCTTATTTTACCCAGGTGTGTTGCGCTATTCAACGCAGAAAAAGGCGTGTTGGCTCCGTGTTATTAATTATATTATTTCTTGAATATATAATCCAACAGGGATGTCTGGATTATGACACCACGGTTCACAAACTGAAATACATGACGCAGGTCATGAACGAGACGCTGCGATTTTACCCCCCCTCACTTACGTGAGTTGGCATCACTTGGCTCGAATTCTTAAGGCAGCACTGTTTTGCATTTTATTCTTCCATATTTTCCAACGGACAAAGCGTAAACATTAGCTAAAGAAAACTCAGGTATGCGATCAGGAGTCTGTACGTACCCAGAATAGAGTGAAACCTTTCGGACGACGCAGTTGTTTCGGGTAGGTTCACCTAGGTACTGTTAGTATTGAAATTATGTGCGTTCTTGTAAATTCGTAAAATGTAGTAGAAGTCTAGAATAAATGCCCTCGTCTTTGAAAAAAAAATTACTGATGTGTAATGATAATAATATGTGTCCTCGTGGTGATTGTAAACTATGAAATTGTATACTTTCCGTCTTCACACTTCCGTAAGTGTTGCTAAATAAGCTAATTTTCGCAGAATAACCATCCATATATTCAATTTACGTAATTCAAATGTGGCACCTTTATTAGTTAAAAAGCTGGCAATTTTTAATACTCGAGAACTGATGTGCATCAAACATTAATGTGGAGTCAGTTACATAGGAGGGCTGCTTGTTAAGCCATATAATAGCCTCTCCCATTTAACACAAATCTGCTCATTTGCGTGAAATGTCATCAAAATTCCCAGGTTCCACACAAGAACTGCAAAGAACAGCTTTGAGTACAAGGGTACAACATTTAAGGCCGGAACGTGTATCATGGCACCCGTGATGCAACTACATAGAGATCCACAATATTGGACTGACCCAAACAAGTTTGATCCTGACAGGTAACTATGCACAGCGTTTTAATGGAGGGTTGGTTTACATCCCTAAATATTAGTTTTACCTTTCGTGATAGCCTTCACTTAATGCGTTAAAAAATTTTTTTGGTGGTTAAATGCAACGAAAATCAATCTTCATTTAAAAGACTGTACGAATGTACACTAGATGGGATGTGCCCATCATAGATTTATATGAAGGTACCGCTGACAGACTAATATCCTCCGATATGCCGGTACTGGCAACCACTGTTTTACTGAGAAACGCAGACTTCAAGTTCTGAAGAATGTACCAACCTGGGCACTTTTGAAGCAGCGCTTGCATTGAATTATTAATTTAATTTGCTCGTTTATTTGAAAGACAACTACCATCAATACATAACATTAAGTGCCCTTAAAACATTGACTATCTACGGTGGCAGCTTTTACTGTGTCGACAAACAATGAAAGCAGTGAGGGTGGCTAGAGAGATGCCATATCTCTTCGCTTCGTTTAAGCGAGGTTCCTAACATTTAAGCATTTTTACTCAAACTCTCAATAATTGAATGTATAAGAAAAATTGGTTTTCAGGTCATGGTCGCCTGCCACACGAGTGAAATCTACGCTTGTTTTCACTTTAGCGTACGTAATCTTATTTATACCATAAAACTAATTCAATAATATCTGTGCACGTTCTATCCGCTGCTTTGACCTCTCGATACTGGGTGTAGAAAAAAAAAAAAACGTGTGCCAAAACTTTTGGCCGACTGCTCATTTACTTGTTCTCCGCCATTCTGGGGAGTATTCCAAACCGCTATCTGTTTACCAAGACTGATGCGGTGTTGCGCACTGTCATTCATTATCTTACGGGTAAGAAAAAAAATAATACGTACCTCCTAATATATTTATTTAAACTTTGAAGACAAACTTACGGATGTAGTTGCACGGACACTACTAGTTATAACACGGCAGTCGTGGCCGTTCTGTACCCGTATCACCACACAAAAGGTTCATTCCGAAACACCGCGCCTATCCCGCCTACCCTTTGCGGTTAAATCACTTTTCCGGGTAGCGATCACACTCTCTTCTTGTCGTCTGCTAGGCGACACCGCCACAGCGCTTGCCGGTGTTTGCTTCCGCTTTTTGGGGTGCCTCTTTCAGTACGATGATTCCTCGAGTTAGCGAAACGAGTCGGGCAAACAACCAACGAAATGGAGACACCGAGCTAAGCATAAGTGTTGCCGCCTGTTCCTGGAGTGTCGTTTGTCAGAATCTGGAGCACAAGCTCGTCTGCTTCTTTTGCAAGGGTTGTGGTGACGTCAGAACGCAAAAACCTATATTGACTCTGATTGAAGAATAGTGAGTTGAGCTCAAAGCAACCTGCCTTAAGATCTACCACTATCCTTATATCAGAGTCAGTCAGAGCTCGGCGTTTTGAAGTCAGCGAAACCCCTGCAAAAGATGCAGACGAAGTTGCACTCCCATTGTTTTGCTAATTGTGCTTGTCTCGGTATGTCATCTTCGTTGGATGATTGGCTGATTCGTTTCTATCACATTGGGAATCTCAGTACCGAAAGAGGCACCCGCAAAAGCCCGTGAACCAAACACCTGCACGTGCTGCGACGGCGTCTGCTTTGTACCTAGCAGACAAGGAGATGGTGTTATTGCAACGTGAAAGAGCAATCCCATCGCGCAGAGTAGGCGGAGTAGGCGTGGTGTTTAAGAATATCCCTGCCATGTGGCGCTGTGGGTGCGGAACGGCCACGGCTGCCGTGCTACACGCCTCGCAAGTGGGCTCATTTTCGTCGACTGCGCATGAGAAAGGAAGTAGCAGTGACGTCAGAACGCCGAGCCCTGATTGGCTGATCGCGAACCCCTATCTCAGCGTCTTCTGCTCCTTTGCAACGTCGTCTGCTCGCAACGTCGCCTGTACGTTTCCTGCGACTTTCGAAAGTCGAGCGAGCTCAACTTCGCCTTTCAGAGAGGGCAGAGGAAATAATTTGAGCAGTACGTTGTTTTTGTCTAACAACTAGCAGACGCGCATCAAGGAGGGAAGTCAAAGGACTCACTGGCGAGGTGTAACGAGGCGCCGAGGTTTGTTTGCTAAGAACCGAGAGTGAGCGTGGTTAGTGTCCGCAAGTTCCCTCACAAATACTGTTTCCCTCCTTTCGTGTGCGGCGAGACTCCTCACTCTTTAACGGCGTCGGCGGGTTGGCGCAGTTAACGTCGTCTGCTTTACGTCTGCTAGTCAAAGCGATGGCTGCGTTACCTTTCCTGCGTTTGTCGGAGATCCACCGCCTTTTTACCGGCAAGAGTCACCGTTGCCTCGGAAAACAAGGAGATGACAAGAGGAAGAGATTGACCTCTTAACTTAAAATTGAGGTCAGCAATCAAAGTATAAGACGGGAAGGGTTCACAAGGGTCGCGCGGGCATATTCCATTCAGCACGCCAGCCGGTTGTGGGCAGACGGTCGCCGAGTCGGAGTGCCGAGCTCGCTTGGTCGTTGTCGGTGGAATCGTGGCCGTTGGAGCTCTTCCCGGGTGTTTGTGGATCCAGCGTTCTTGTTCGTCGTGGTCTGTTTTAAGTACCTTTTACGTTTTTCTTGCTGCTTGAAGTCGGGACGCGTGAGAAGGGCACGTAGAGAAATAATTGTCCGTCGGTCGTCGCGACCGCGACGCTGTCGGCCACGCTGATTTGATCGTAAGAAGTACGTAAGACAGCTTCGGAGCTGTCGTAGGATTTCGTTGTAACCTGCGCAAAACTTACGAAAATTTCGTTTCGTGAATACAAATTTGTACTCAAGTTTTGCCTTACGCATATTTCTGGCGTAAGATCGTTTTGTGAACCTGGCCTCTGGCCTCTGCACTTCCGAAAGTCGCAGGAAAGGTAAGAGAGACGCAGACGACGTTGCGAGCAGACGACGTTGCAAAGGAGCAGACGACGCTCAGATAGGGGGTCGCGATCAGCCAATCAGGGCTCGGCGTTCTGACGTCACCGCTACCCCCTGCGCAAGAAGCAGACGAACTTGCCCTCCGCATCGCTAGTAGTGTCTGCGAAAGTACTTGCGCGGAAACTATAAGCTGAAACAACCCTTCAGGCTTCTTCAGTTTACTGGTCCCTTTGTAAAGGACTTTCCATGAAAACATGTGATAGAACGCAAGGCTGGCCTCTCGGCTTCTCGTCGATTAAGAAGTTTAACCCTATTGATCGCAATCCTATAATCGAGTAATAAAACCATTAATCGGTTTCGTTCATTCCCATGCAAAATAGTTTTCAAAAAGTAAAAATTAACTGTTTTTTCTCTGCTGACTATTTAATAAACGGCGCAGTACAAATTAAAAGTTTAAATCAATCTTGATACGTGGTTTACAACAGTCAAAAGACACCCACACTCACAAATTATTACTTCAATCTCAGAGAACCGAGATGCGTTGATAATCTCCGGCAATAGCGAACTCCTTTGATTGTTCAGAATTGTCTTTGCTCTGCTAAACGGACACTCGCACGTGTTGAAGTTGCTGGGACACGTGTAACCTTCTTCACTCGTCTGGAGTTACAAAGTTCGCCGCTACAGTTTACTTTAAGTCGGCATTTTTTCGAAAGTGTGCTTTCATACTGGTGTACTCGTCCACGTCTGCGTGGTCAAACGTTGAAGTTTTCCGTCATTTTCTCAAATTGATCGGCTTAACCGGTTAAAAATTTTAATCGTGACTAAAGCATTGATTTTTTTATCGGTGGGTTGATCGGTCAAACGCGTAGCCGTAGTCTCAATCTTTAAAATATTTCATAATTTGAGACATAATATAGCCTGTGGCAAGTGATGCCAAGGAAGAGTTTGGAGTGGGAATTTCAGCCCATACTGTATAGGGGGCGGACATATTGACACAAAGGTATTGCTGCCCAGACGAACCTCAAAGTTTACCACCTAAGTTTCGCCCCGAAAACTCAGCGAATAAATATGAAACCATTCAATCATGAGGAAAAAGCTATGACTGGCTATCGCGAACTTGTTCCAGACATGTATAGTTACTGCAATAAAGTAATCAAACACCGTTACATGTAACTCAATCAAAAAGTAATTAAGTACGTTACTCTGTACTGAGATTTTAAAAAAAATGACGCATTGCCTCGGCTTGGAAATAACGCGTCATATTATCATTGCTCTGCATCTGTCGTTTTTCAGACAGTAGCACAGCAGGTCCCAACATCCGTAGTTTCTATATTTTTGTTTTGTTTCTATAACGCCTTCATTTAGGAGTAACTGTAGCTATGTTGATGCACCTTGTGTACAAAGTTTTACGGCCCTGTACACAATAAAAGCGCTAAAAAGACAACCCATAGGTCAAAGGACGACGACCACCGCAGAACGGTTTTCGTCGCCCTTTAACTACTCCGTGATCTTTTTAGCGCTTTTAACCTGTACAATAAATATCCAAGTAGTCCAAGTACATACCCTATTTATGGCCTATTGAGCATTTAATAGTCGTGCAGATTACAGGCGCGAGCTAAGGATGAGAACTGGGTTCAGTATTTTTATTGCAGACGTTCCCCTCCAGAAGTCATTCAATGCCATTACTAGTTAGTTTACCAAAAACACAAAATACTTTTACCCGTTCCTTCTTTTAAAAGTAACTAGGTTATTACTTCGTTACAATGGGTAACTAGGTAGAAGTAAGCCGTCACTAGGAACGGGTTGCGTAAAAGTCTGGTTCGCTCCGCGAGTATCACGCTCGCATTATGATTGTCAATTACAGGTTTAGTCCCGAAAACGAAGGAACGTACTGCAAGAGAGCATTCCAGCCTTTCGGTGTTGGACCGCGCTGTTGCGTCGGATATAAGTTGGCTCTTTTTCAAGTATTGTACTTCACCGCTAGTATGGTGCAAAACTTCAAGATGGAACTCGGAGACGCACACAAGGTAGCTTCTGTATTTGATTCAAAATTAGCTGTCATCTCCTAGATATTGCGTTAAGATAAACATTAAGGGTTTCGAGAGCACTTATTGGGCAAGCTAACCTCCTTCGTTTGAAGACGAACCATAATGTAGAGCAGCTCAGCTGGGGCAGCTAGATTAAAGATACTTGTCGTTGTTAATTAAATTTGCTTCCGAGTCATTTAATTAGCTTCTCGTCCAGTATCAAGACATTTAACGGACATATTGCGGTTCAGTTTGATTGGTGGAACTGCAGGGAATACGAATATAGTATTTAGCCTTTAAAACTTCATTCGCAAGGCTACCTGCATAAGCAACCTAAAGAATGCAGTTAAAGAGAAAATGTTCTTGTCAAGACCAGCTTCCATGAATTCTATTTTATTTGACATTTTATCTACTTTCAAGAAGTAGGAAAGAAGTAAGAAGTTCTATAAATCTTTAAATATAAATTATTACAGGGACTGCTTTTATGTTTACTGTATTGCTGTTGATCTTGATATATGCATATATATATTTAGGACCATAAATAGACCGAAGAAACTATTATATACATTGTCACCACAATTAGCTTTCTGATCATGAATATTGTCACGAGTGGTGACCAAAAAAAAAATAAACAGAAAAAAATAAACGTTTAATGTGGCGAACTTGTGCCAAAAATAAAAGGGTACGAAAGAAAACAGCAGAGCGTCGTGGGCGTCGATGTCGGCGAAACCGCAGGATCGAGCGCAGGGGCGAGACTGACTCGACAAGGTCGCGAACGGCGTCTTATCTAGAGTGAGTCACTATCTCGAAGATTCGGCGGAGAAGGTTCGAGCGTAGCACGCGCGGGGCGAGCATGAACACGCACTTTCTAGAACAACATAAGCAGGGATAAACGACATAATTTATGTCTGGAGCAAGAATAAACGAGAAAGTTCTAGAAGTCCGTGACCCTGCGCGCGGCATTATCCCCCGCTTTAAAAGCGCATCGTCCCGATGCACCACAAAACGAAAAAAAGCAAACAAAAACAAATCCAAAACAAAACGACAGCAGAATCGCGAGCCACAGTTCAGAGTTCACAGTTCACTCGTCGACAAGAGTAAAAAGTTCTATCGTTCGTAATACGGCTTCAGCCGGACGACGTGCACCACCTCGGGTCGCGGCTGACGTCTTGCAGATGGGCGCGTTCCGTCGGGAAGGACTTCGTAGTTCAGATCGCCGAGCCGTCGGATGATCTTGTAGGGTCCGAAATAGCGTTTCAGAAGCTTCTCGCTGAGACCGCGGCGCCGTATTGGTGTCCAAACCCATACCCGGTCTCCGGGTTGAAAGTGGACGTCCCGGCGACGAAGGTTATACCGGCTTGCGTCGACTCGCTGTTGGTCTTGAATCTAGATTCTTGCCAGCTGACGAGCTTCCTCCGCGCGCTGGGAGATCAGTTGAGCGTCGTTGTTGCCATAATCGGTTGGCACGTGAGGCAGCATGGCGTCGAGCATTGTGGTAACCGCCCGGCCGTGTACCAGTTGGAAAGGCGTCACTCCCGTGGTTTCTTGAACCGCTGTGTTGTACGCAAACGTAACGTGCGGCAACACCTCGTCCCACGTCTTGTGCTCCACGTCGACTTACATGGAGATCATGTCAGCGATCGTCTTGCTGAGCCGCTCTGTTAGTCCGTTGGTCTGCGGATGATAAGCGGTGGTTCGTCGATGGTTGGTGTGAGTAAGCCGAAGAACCTCTTGAGTCAGGTGTGCCATGAAAGATGATCCTCAATCTGTGATCAACACTTCGGGTGCGCCGTGTCGAAGGAGGATGGACTCGACGAAAAACTTTGCGACTTCCAGCGCTGTTCCCGATGGCAGGGCCTTCGTCTCGGCGTATCGTGTAAGATAATCGGTAGCGACGATAATCTACCAATTTCCTTGCGTTTAAATGTTCGGAACGGTCCAAGTAAGTCATTTCCGACCTGCTGGAAGGGCGTAGTCGGGGCGGGTATCGGCTGCAGGAGTCCTGCTGGCTTCGTCAGAGGCCTCTTTCGTCGTTGGCACTCATGGCACGACCTTGTGTACAGATGGACTGTTTTCGGGAGTCTCGGCCAGTAGTACTTGTCACGAATCCGGGCGAGCGTCCGGCTGTAGCCAAGGTGTCGAGCCGTCGGGTCGTCATGGCATGCTTGAAAGATTTCTTCTCGCAGGCTGGCCGGAACAACCAGCAGCCAGGCAGGGTCGCTCGTTCCGAAGTTCTCCTTGAAGAGCACGCCTCGCCGCGGAACGAAGCTTGACAAGTCTCGGGCCAAGACTCGCGGAATTGAACTTCCTCGGCCTTCAAGGTGTTCGATCACGGCGCGAAGTTCCGGGTTGTCTCGTTGAAGTTCTCCCATGTCGGCATCTGTCACTGCGCCGAGAAAACAGGCGTCATCGTCGTCGTCAGTGCTTTCGGGAGGAGATTCGACTGGGGCCCTAGAAAAACAGTCGGCGTCGTTATGTGCTTCGTTTTGTGCTGCATCGGGACAATGCGCTTTTAAAGCGGGGGTTAATGCCGCGCGCAGGGTCACGGACTTCTAGAACTTTCACAGATACACGATACGGCGACCGATGAGCAGGAAGTGCGTCGTCATCAGTAATAATTCGATGTTTCGCAACCGTCGTTTGGCGCACCTTTGACGACGTGGAGAAGCACTCACTGAACTCGGCGAGAAGGTCACTGAGTTGTCATCATTGTGGGGTAGGCAGGACTGGATCGATGTCAAACTGCGAATGCGGCGTTGTCTCGTGTGGCCCCGAAGAGATGTCTTATGCTATTCCGGCGATTGCGGCTGAGTCCATGAGTTCCTCGGCGTGACCCACGGCGGTGCCTTTCGTAAGGTACTTAGCCTCCTGTCGGAAGTTTGTTACGAGTGCAAAAGTGTGTCCGTCTTGGAGCTCCGCGAGGCCTCTTGCGACGCCGATTCCTCTTCCTAGAAGCAACTCGAGGCTTCCCTCGAGCAGAACGTCGCCGCAGAAAGCCCCGTCGATCCCGATGGGTACGAAAACACTGGACCGCGGCGGTAAGTTCACGTGATCTGCGAGGACTCGGACCGCGGATGACGTCGCTTCGGGTTCCTCCGGTGGTGAAACAGGTTTTCGCAGAGTTAGCCGGCTTGCTCTGAGGTCGATGACGGCGCCATACTCGCAGAGGAAGTCCATTCCGAGGATAACGTCCCTCGAACAGTCCTGCAGAACGACGAACTTCACAGGGCACGTCTCACCGTGGATCTCGACGCGAGCAGTGCATCGCCCGACTGGTGTGATGAGGTGCCCACCGGCGGTTCGTATTTGAGGGCCTTCCCACGGCGTTGTCACTTTTCGCAGGCGGTGAGAGAGCCTCCCACTAATGACTGAGAAGTCCGCTCCGGTGTCCACGAGTGCCGATGCGTCGTGGCCGTCGATAATGATGTTTAGGTTGTTGGACACCGATGCAGGGACGTCGTTGTGATGCGTAGTGTCGAGAGAGTGGGAGCGCTCCGGCGTTCTTGGAGACTCTTTACTTCGGTCGTCTTCGGCAACACCACCGCCAGGCGTTGCCGCACTTAGTTTTCCCGGCGACGCAAGGGCGACAGGCTATCTCCGCGGGGTCGTGGCGCTGGAGACGCTGAACGTCTGGGCGGCGGTGAGCGGGACTCACGGCGGAGCAGCGTTGAAGATGGCGAACGTCGGAGGTACTTTTCGAGGTCACGAGGGCGTTCGTCGTACGTTGGGCGCGGGTCGTTGGGGTAGAACCCGCGCAGCCCCAGTTCGGCGATTGAGGGCGTAGCCGGGCTTGTGGCAGCAGGTAGCAACTTCTTCAATTCCTCCTGGACGACTTCACGGATAACGTCACGGATGCCGGGGAGGGTGGTGCCCAGGTCGGATCTAGATGTCGCCAGAGTAGTTACGCCAGGGTGTCGTTGGTCGTGTCTGGCGTGGGCTAGCAGGGCCCGTTCCATATTTGTCGCCTCCGCGACGAACTCGTCGACTGTTGTCGGGGGATTCCGGATGAGACTGCCGAAAATCTCGCTTTTCATAGCCCTCATCAGGTGGTGCAGCTTTTTCTCCTCGGTAGCCTGAGGATCGGCGGGGGCGCTCAGGCGGAGAACATCCTCGACGAAGCTGGTGATGCTCTCATTTAGGCCTTGGGTTCTTGTTCGCAGGTGATCTTCGGCCCTCTCACGTCTGTGCTGGCAGGCAAACGTCTTCTTCAGTTCTTGCTTGCACAGTTCCCACGACGTCAAAGAAGCCTCGTGGTTTTCCAGCCAGTGCCTCGCGGTTCCTTCCAGCGAAAAGTAAAGGTTCTGCAAGCAGTGCTCAGCTGACTACCCGTTATGTCGGGCCACACGTTCATAATGTTGCAGCCAGTCCTCGATGTCCTCGTGGGCGTCTCCGTGGAAAGGCGTCGGAGTTTTGGGTGCGACGGGCAGGTATACGACGCTGGCGGTGGACGGGTTGTGTGACGACTGGCTGTCCATCGTTGGCCTCGTTGGCTGCTTAGTCTTGGGCGACAGAGGTCCGAATTCCGGGTGTAGGCCTTGGGTGCGACGACTGAACCGGATCTCGGAAGTGCTTTCTTTGGTTCTTCGTGGGCTAGGCGTCGGACTTGCACTGCGGGCCCTCGGAGGGGTACGCGGCAGGGGCATGCGGTACCCCGCACCTCTACCAAAATGTCACGGGTGTTTACAAAAAAAAAACAATAAATAAACAGAAAGAAATAAACGTTTAATGCCGCGAACTTGTGCCAAAAATAAAAGGGTACAAAAGAAAACAGCAGAGCGTAGCGGGCGTCGATGTCGGCGAAACCTCAGGATGGAGCGCAGGGGCGAGACTGACTCGACAAGGTCGCGAGAGGCGTCTTATCTAGAGTGAGTCACTATCTCGAAGATTCGGCGGAGAAGGTTCAAGCGTAGCGCGCGCGGGGCAAGAATGAACACGCACTTTCTAGAACAACATAAGCAGTGATAAACGACAGAAGTTATGTCCGGAGCAAGAATAAACGAGAAAGTTCTAGAAGTCCGTGACCCTGCGCGCGGCAATATTATGGTTTCTTCGGTCTATTTTTGGCCCTAAATTTCAAGACAAAAATAACTTCTGGCTCAGAGAGCTGTGCTACATGGAAAGGGACTAAAGAAAAAAAAAACGCACTTGACGGAGCTTAAATAATTTATGAGCTTTCGTGATGAGTTTAACTGAAACTGCGTTTTTATTGTTTATTTAGGGTGCCATCGAGGTACAAACCATCGGCATGATGGCTTCACCCGGCGATGGATCATGGATGAAATTTACACGGATTTGATATTGCTCCTTTTAAATCAAAGATTCTTGGAGCTAACTCGGATGCTGCAACTTTGGAAAATCATTAATTGAGACTGTGGCTTTGTCTGTGTATATTTATATTAAAAAAACTGTACAAAGCACGCTAAAAAATTGGGTAATCGAAAACAAGTACAGGGGACAAGCACTTACGTTAACTTGTTTTGTTAAGCTGACACATTCTACTTTGCGTTTGCCTTTTTTTTTTTTGTTTGTTTTTTGAGTGCCGCGTACATTTATACTATACATAACCTACCTCATTTCCAGAGATACTCTAAAGTAACTGCATCTACAACTATCTGCTTCAACTATTTTATTCTATACAGCTTAAGTAGAAGATATTAACTGGTTTGTTTAAATCACACACGTGGAATTTCGTACAAACTAAATAGCAATACCACCACAGTTTGAACATACACAGTGTGGATTATCTTACTGCACTGTATATACACCGAGCGACTGGGCGGCTTTAATGATTTTTACATTAGCAATTCATCTGATAGCGGCTTTTCTAAAGTATATGTTCATTAAAACTTCGTATCTTGAAAGACAGTAATAATGCTGCATTTTTGTGCGGTGGTCAAGAATATGCCGAAAAAAGCTCTGCTTATTCTAGCAAAGTATATCCTATCATTTACGGTATAAATGTTTATATCATTTAACGTGTTGTGTTTCAAGCACCCCCCCCCCCCCCCCCCCCATCACGCACGATTTCGTCAATAAAATTACTTACCTGTTCTACAACGAGACTGTGTTGTATTATTAAACTTACTTTTTTCAATTTGTGGCATACCGTCAGAATCAGTTACGCTAAATACGAGGTTAGGATATTTATCAGCAACCAACACTTCTGAACAAAAGGAGGTGAAATGATGGAGAAACTAGGTGGGAAATACCAGTAAGCCCGCACCAAAGATACAAATTATTATATATATATATAATTTAAACGAAAATCACTGAACAGCTGTATGATCCGATGTGCTTTAAATATTGCACCGAGTTCACTTTTCTGCAGATCACGGTGACAGACAATCACAGCAAACAGCAGCCAATCATATTAAGATTCCAGTGGGTGACGAAGCTGGGAATACCAGTACACCGAGAAAATCTGATGTGCAAGGAACAAATGCGCGCGACATTCATCTTGCACATTTTTCTTCGGCAAATAACAATATGAAGACCCGATCGATCGCTTACTGAGCCGCGTCGTTTGCTGGGGGAGGGAGGGGGGCGGGGTCGTTGTATTGTTTGCTGTGATTATCTGCTTTCACATTCTGAGGCGATCGAGAAAGTAAACTAGCAGACATTTTCTCTGCGGACAGTCGCTGACAAATTGATTGCGATAGCTTCTTCGAAGTTCTTATCGACTAATGACTTAATCTCATTGGTTTCGGAGCAACATTAAGATACAAGAAAACCGGCACGACCTCCGTTTCTCAAGCTGTCGGTAATTATAATAACTGAAGATTTAAAAAACGCAGGATTGGACCAGTACATACAGTGTTTTTGCAGGCTTTACAGATTTCTTTAACAAAATCCGTTAAATTTACACTAATGTGCTCTTTGCAGGTTTGTTATATGGTCAGGCGGACATCATAAAGGGGAATCATCGTCACGAGAAGTCGAATATTTAACTCAAATTTCCTAATTGACTTCGTAACGACTGAAAATAACTTTCCGGTTCCTATTGGATCATTCCACGTCAAACGTCCCAGACGTTGCGCTCAACCCCTTCCGATTTCTAAAAAAAAAAAGCATGGCCTTTTGCCGCAATGTCCGTAGCCATGCCCTAAAATATTTTGGCGAAAACAAAATTGTTGATGACGTGAGCGCGGTTTTAACTTTTAACAACAGCGTGAAACTAGGCATCACTCAATAATTGATGAGAAATCAACTTTTTAGTGGAACACCTAAAACTATTTTCTCTTAAATTTGCACGGCTTTTAACTTACAATGTGATTGGGCTTGTGAAGTTTTCTTTAAATTAAATATTAAAAAAAGATCTAAAAGTTTTTGAAATATTTAAAATTTTTGTTATTTTATTAAGAATATTTAATTGCTCCCGGGATTTAATAGAACTTTTTACCGGCTGCCCCTGCAGGTATATAATCTATAAAAAATGTTTAAAACCGCTCCATTAAATATATCGCAGCAAACAAAAGTCCTGAATTTGCAAAAAAAGTGCGTTTTGACGCATAAACAGCCGTTTATTTCACGCTGAGGTGGTCCAAGTAAAAATACAAAATATGGTGGGCTTGGAAGAACAATCGATAATCTTTCGATTTTGAAATATTAATCAAAGTGATTTTTGTTTAAAGTGAGAAAACAATTTTCGAAGTCGAACTCTCGTACCACAACCCGGCGTTGCTTCTTAACGCCTCTTCTCCGCACAGCACGCCACCTGCGACGATAGCTGACACGATTATTTCCAAAGAAGGAACGGAGTTTTCTGCCGCTTTCCCTTGTCCGTCTTTCCGGCTGCAAAAGAAGAAATGACCGCGTATCGTGTAATAATCGGAGGTGCCCCCAGCGCGTAGCAATAGCAGGCCCGTTGTGCCCTTTGTACCCGAGGGCGGCTCGAAACGCGATGCCTAAACGACGGGTGGCATCAAGTGACCCAGACTTCTCCATGCCACGCCAAAGGTCCTACGGCCACTTCTGATTCCTAAAATAAAATTAATGGCTCTTCACCGTAACGTTTGTGGTGCCTCTCTAACATATTTTTTTGACGAAAACAAATCTCATGGGGTGATGGCGGTTTGAACTAGTAAAAGGGGGGTGGAACTTCGAGTCATTCAATAATTGATGAAAAGTAAGAATTCTTTATGGAACACTGGAATATTTTTGCCTAAAAACCCTACGGTATTTGGATTGCTATGTAATAATTATCATGGCCACGGAATTTGGTATGCTCGAAGCAGTTAATAAATAAAAAAGGAATATATGAGTATTTTAGCACATTTTTAGTTTTGTTACAAAATATGGCTTTGCTGCATGCGACTGTAAATATTGTTATTGACAGCCCTTTAGGTGTACTGTACACAAAAAAAAGGTTTCAGGCCTTACAACTAAATATCTTGCAGGAAAAAAAAAGCGATATTGCGTTTTGCAGTTTAAAGAGCCGTCAATTCTGCCTTGACGTGGCCCAAAGAAAAATACGTAACATGGTGACTTCTACAAAAGAGTTTATTTCCTTTTGTTCTTGAAAGTTTAAGTAAAGTCATTTTGTTCTAAAGAGGAAAAAAAACATTTGAAGTTTAGCTTTCGCATCTCAACCTGGCGTCGTTCCTTGTGCCTGTTCTCTGCACAGCACGCCACCGTCGACCCAGGCAAAGCGTGTGACGGTGTCACGGTGTGCGCACGCAGGTAGAAAGCAGGACCTCGAGTTGTCGGGTACATCTTGGTTGAAGAGGCTTTTTTCTACTTTTATTGCTTTATGGCTTTTCCCATCTTGACCGTTTTGCGCGGCTGTGTCCTCCTTTGGACTTCCAGTGTCTTGATACCAACAAATGCTTAGCGCTGCCAGGTAAGAGCATCCGCTAGTAAGCTAGCTGTTTTTTACGTACACATCGCAATCACTCTCTCTTATCGACGTCAGGACAGATGTAGACAGCAACACAAAAGCCCCGTGAACGGGCATTCTCATACGACGATGCATTGTGGTGCTAACGAATGTGCGCAGTTGGAGGCTCACGCCTCGTTTGTGTTTTAATCGTCTTTGAAACAGCAAATTCTTGCGTCGCTGAACAGTTCCGCTTTTCCCCGCAGTATGATCAATTTCATCGCGTTTCCCTTTTAGGAGAAGTCTACGTCAACTGATGCCGCCCGTATTAGGCATCGCCTTTCGAGCCGCCCTAGGGTAAAAGGGAACAACGGGCCTCCTATGGCTACGCACTGGCAGCACCTCCGATTATTACACGATGCCCGCCGTTTCTAACTTGAAGCCGGAAAGACGGACAAGGGGAAGCGGCAGAAAACTCCCTTCTTTCTTTGGACCTAATCGTGTCAGCTATCGTCGCATGTGGCGTGCTGTGCGGCGATGAGGCGTTAAGAAGCGACGCCAGATTGTGGTGCGAGAGTTCAACTTCAAAAATTGTTTTCTCACTTTAAACAAAAATTACCTTGATTAAACTTGCAGAATCAAACGATTATCGATTGGTCTTTCAAACCAACCACACTTTGTATTTTTAGTTGGACCATCTCAGGGCTAAATAAACAGCTGCTTATGCGTCAAAACCCACTTTCTTGCAACTTCGGGATTTTTGTTTACTGCGAAATATTTAATTGAGTGGTTATAAACATTTTTTTAGATTATATACCTGCAGGGCAGCCGGTAAAAAGTTCTATTAAGTCCCACAGGCAATTAGATTCCCTTTGATAAAATAACAAAAATATTACATTTTTCAGAGTTGTTTCGTTTTTTTTTTTAAATATTTAAATTAAACAAAACTTTGCAAGCCCAACCCGTTGTAAGTCGAAAGCCGCGCAAATTTGACAAAGATATTGTTGGGTGTTTCACTAAAAAGCAGATTTTTCCTCAATTATCCAGTGATGCCTAGTTTCATTGTTTTTTAAAAGTTAAAACCGCGCTCACATCATCAAAACATTTCTTCGGCAAAAATATTTCAGGGCATGACTAGAGATATTGCGGCAAAAGGCCATGCATTTTTTTTTTTAAATCGGGAGGGGTCGAGCGTTACGTCTGGGACGTTTCACAGGGAATGATCCAATTAAAACTTGCTCAGCGTCATTGAAGACCACCGCAAACCAGCTATTTCTTAAAATACTTTTGACACGCGAGAAGCCCGGCACTGCGCTGAAGTCATCACCCGTGGAACACACAGGGTGATGGCGGTGCACCGGCAGCACTGTGTGTGTTGCGAGCGACGCTTACCGCTGCAATAACGCGCCCGCACTCTATTTCCGTCGATTATTGCCAGCGCTTTCACACTCTAAAAAAATGTCTGTGGGTCTACTTTCACGCACAACACTCCGAGAGCCAATCACCGCAACTGACGGAGGCAG